AAAAAAAATATAGAAAAAATATAGCAATAAGTGTATTAAATTAGTTAAATTATAATAATGTAGATAATAAAAAAAAGAGGACTAGAGAGATTTATTCGTATTATAAAATAGTTAAAATAATTAAGGACTATTTGTGATGTATCATTAGTTATTAGATTTATTTAATCAGTAGGCACTTGATAAATAAATACAATAATACCTGATTGCATGAAAAATGTATTAATTTAATGGTTCAATAAAATTGAAAAGACATATCATACTATATATTAATTAAATGTTTATCTCACTATTGATTTGTTAAATGTGATTGTTCATGCAACCAGGCATGAGTATTATATTTTGAAATACGCTTCAGTTATACAATAAAAAAAATTTGATACAGACAAGTAATTTGTTAGTACACGAGAGTGCAAATTTAATATTATCGTATACAAACAGTAGGTAGGCATTTAATTTAAAATATAAAATAAAATTAACAAGGAATTATAAAATAAATATAATACCTACTTTTTTTTCTACATACTAGTTTATATAATAGGGCTTTGAATATAATTATATTAGTAGCGTAAAGAATGACAATTACTAAACCCCAACAACTTTATTGCATTTGAAATAATAAAAAAAAAATGGCTGTTGAAATTGATAGAAAAACAAATTCTTTAACACAACAAATAATAGAAGTTTGGGTAAAATTTTTTTGTATATGCGCGTAAAACTTGTACTAACATAAAATCAATAATTCTAAATAAAAAAAAATCATTGACAACAAAGAAAATGTAAATTTGTTCATCAGACAATCCAAAAGTAGTAAGGAACATACACTTTTCCGAACACAGTAGTATGGTAATGGTGGTATATAATAAATCTTTCTAAAATTAAGGTTGTAAAAAAATAGGAATTTCTTAAAAAGTCCAGAGATTTTTTAATCATAAATACAATTTATATTATTTGATTTATCACAAGTATGCCAAYATGTGACAGTAATTTGTATAGAATGGTTATGTAGAAAATGGTATGCATTTGTTGAACTATTGTCATGAACATTCTTGAGGTAGTTTCATTTACAAATGTTAAATACGAATATTGTGATAGATTTTATGTGTTGATATGATATCTATGAGAAATAGAAGATATTATATATTTTCTATTAATAGTCATATGTTTCATTGATGGACAAACTCTTAATAGACATAAATTAATTTAGAAATAAATTATTGTGGACAATTTAAATATCAAAAGAAATATAAATTATAGTTTGACAATTCTGAAAGTGATATTTAAGATGAAATTATTGTAACTCGTTTTTTATTTTATTAAATATTGACAAGTATTTATTTAATAAATTAAAAAACATTCTTTTAAGAGGATRTCAGCACAATGTTTTATTTTAAATTCATGCGCAACATAATAAATTTACATTTAGATGAACCAACTCTTAAATTGTAACTTTCTGTTAAGAATAGAATCTGATGCTACCATTTTATATTATTTATTTCTTTCCATTCAAGTTATGACTGCAGGGCTCGGGACTTATAGCACTTAAAATAGCTCTTAAAAACATTATTTTAAGCACTCAAATAAGCATTTAAAAAACTTAAATTTTTATCAAAAAACTAAAAACTAAAAAATTCTAATTAAAAAATCAAACMAAATAAAAATAAATCTTTATCTTTATATTATAAAATAAATTAAAMTTCACTTTYGAGACTTTAAGGATTTTCTGAAAAATGAAATGTAAACGATATTTATAATAGTTGAAAACATTATAAAAACGTAGAAATACTGGTTAAATAAGAAAAACTGGAAATAAGCATTTTTTTGAAAAATTGCTGAAACAAGCGAAAAAAAAAGCACTTTCAAACTTCATAATTAAACGTATTATAACATGAGATACACTTCCATAGTACTATGCTACATTTTAAGTCAATCCATAAAATAAGCAAATATTTTAAGAGGACGCCACACCCGTATGTGTTGTCTCCATCTTACAAACGTATAACATAGCAAAATCTGTTTAGCGCGGGACAACTTTTCTCCCTCAATATTTATAATAGAATTTTCAAAATTTCACAACGCATAGGTAAGAACTTTATCTGTGTTGTTATTTTTTTGATAGCACAAACAAATAATTTTAAGTAATTTAATGAAAAAATAAAAAATAAATGTATTTTCTTAAGYTTATAACTTTAATTATATTTATKHTATCAAAAAAATAAYGACGCTATGACACAGATAAAGTTCTTACCTATGCGTTGTGGAATTTTGGTAATTCTACTATAAATACAAAGGGAGTAAAGTTGTCCCGCGCTAAACAGATTTTGTTATGTTATAAGTTTGTAAGACAGAGACAACACATGCGGGTGTGGCGTCCTCTTAAGTCCTGAGTCCTGGTTATGAGTATGTAAAGTATAACAATTTCAAATTGCTAATTAATTGCATAAAAACTAACTTAGCCACACAGGTAATGTTCTTAACCTAAAGTTTGATAATAGGAGAATTCATTTAAACACAGGGTTGGATCTGCTCAATTTTTTATGTTGCGTTAATTTTAAATGTGGACTTTAGAATGAATATTAAATAATTACAAATGTTTAAATTCATACAATTCAAAAAGTATTCTCTAAAATTAATATATATATAATTTAAAAATGTTCAGCTCTACAGTTCTATCACAATCACTATAGATTTTAACTTTAAGTAAATGGTACAAATACCATTATAAATAATTACTTAAGTATATAGGATGATTGGCGATGTTTAAACTTACTTCAGTTGATCACACTGAGAAACATTATCTAATACTAAAATTAGATTGCACTATACATAAAATTATTCTTAAACCATACTTACAACTAAGAATACACAAATTAATCCGTTTTTCCTTCTAATGTCAAGTTATAAAATTACTCTGTACAACCAAAATAATAATTGTCTTACAAGTGGATGAATGTGATACATACTTAGTTATTGTAACAAAATCATATTTAAAAGATAATAATAATATTTTATTGGCCACAACATTTTAAGAGCACGAAAGAAGGATATAAAAATATATTTCATAAAAATTAGATCAACTTGATACAAAATGTACATAATTTCTATATATCTAAAGTAAAATTATTGCTTAATACATTTATTTTATTCATTTAGGCCTAGAGGATGATTGGTAGTTTCTAACTGTATTACTAGGTTAGTTTTCAAAATATATATAGAAGTTAAAATAAAATGGCAACCTTTTTTACAAAAAATAAAAATAAATACTCTTTAATAAACTCACTTGGGATCATAAACTATATATTTATAATGGCGTTTCTTTTCGCCATTTAAAACTATCAGTGGGCAAATGAGGTGTTTTATTTTTACGCCCAGCAGCCATTTCTAAACCATTACGGATAGCCGGCATTATTCTTAATGCTGGATTTGTAACAATACCATTACGTTTTTGCTTGACGTTTCCCAAGTTTTTGTTGTAACTGCAAATATTTTAAATATTAACATATTATACATTAAATAAAATGATAATGATATAATACTTTGAATCGGAAGTTGATTTTTTTAACACAGCCTTGTTACCAAGAATAATTCGCATATGAGTGTCACGCGAAAAATGATCATCCGTCAATACTGAAATAATACTAAAATGTAAATGAATGCAAATAAAAAATKCAAGTCAAAATTAGAAGACATTTCTCAAAACCATTAAATGTTAAAGTTATACACGTGAAATATTCTATCTAAATAGCTTTTAAAATGTTCAATATAAAAAAATAAAAGTTAAGTRAATTATAAGTGAATTTCTTGATAAATAAAATACATCAGATGCAAAATTTTAAAAACAATACATAAAAATGAGTATTTTTGAATTGGGTAGACAATAATAAATACAGTGGAGAATAGTGATACTTAATGAAGATAGTGTGTACTTATAGTAGGTCAATAAACAAAAAATATTGGTTGAGCAAATTCAAAATTTTGAAATGAGAAATAGAAAATAGAAAATAATGCCAATACAGTGATATCACAACAGAGAAGCAACTATGTGTATAGCATTTGCCGGTTCTTTTTATTCGTCAATTCTCMACACAAAACAACTGATCATATTTTACAACGGATCACGAATAATGATAGTATGATTGCACAACAAACAKTAATAAAGTACCAACTYGAGTTGAGTTTCCTTAGTCATACAAGGACTAACAGAACAGATCATAGGCGCTCCAAGCATTTAAATACCTATTGAAAAATAATTGTTAATATACTAATATCTTGAATTATGATGCTTAGTACATAATTKAATTCTATGAACACTAGTAAAAATGTCTATAGTATCGTTGATGATAAAATAAATTATGCCATTAAATTGTTTTGTCTAAGTTGTWGTGCAACCATTATATCTTTAATCGTGAAACGGACTGATTTTGTCCTAACTGACTAGTCCACTAGTGAATGTATTTTTCTTTGTTACATAACTAGACTAAATTTTAAGAGTGTAAAAATATTAATGTTTAAGTGAACATCAATGTTTTCAAAATGTAATTTTGCTGTATAGAATAATTAAAGTTTAACAGATAGTGTATTAAAAATAAAACATGTTTAACTTTATATTATATTTATGGGGTCAAAATTGTTTTTTAAAATCAAAACAATGTAAATTTAATGACTACCAAGAAATTAAGCATTTTTATAAAACTATAGCTAAAATAATATTGTTTAAAATTAACATTTTATTTATTAAAAAAATATACAATTAATAACAATATTGAAAATATAATTTGTCAACTTCAAAATCTAATAATTGCATTACCTTGAATGCTTGGAGCTGATGGTTCTTCTGAATTAGGGCTGTGAGGTGGTGTTGCATAAATAGGACTTTGCAAAGGACTTAGAACTTTAGAAGTGGGTCTCGATTTGATTCGTCGACTACATTGCTGTAATTTTTGTGTAAATGTCAATGGTGTCAACTGCAAAAAATAATGGTAATATTTACTATTTAAAAATATTCTAAACATATTTTTATTGCCAAATTGTTTTTACTTGAGTTGGCAAATCTTGGTGAGAACTTTTAGTACTATCAGTTAAATTAGAACTTGATTTGCTATAGTTTGAAACAAATGATGTTCGTTTAGCTGTTGAATCTGGTGATTCAATAGGCGATGAATCATGGATCGGAGTATGATTAGTGCAAGATAATAATGGATTAACTAATATAGCAGAGGATGGTTTAGTTTCAGTTGTTGAACCAGAACCACAAGAGGTATTAGCTGTATTAAATCCATTACCTAAAAATATAATTCATTAGATATGAATGTTAAATATAATTTATTTWAAATATTACTTTCGTTTTTTATAGGACAAAATTGTTCAAGTAGTTTAACAATATTGTCATGACCACTTTTTGCAGCAATTTTTATGGCATTTCGTCCACAATGGTCAGATACTAATGGATTTGCACCTTGCATTAACAATAATCGAACACAAGTCTCATTACCTTCTTGAGAAGCAATACCTGTATAATTGAAACAAAATAATTAAATTAATGATACATTTTTTWAAACTAAAATATCATTAAAATATACAATCTTGTTGATATTTAACATAGTTTTAATCGATTTAGTATATAAATATTGAATGATATGTTTTAATATTATTCTATAAAAAATATTAGGCTATACTGTAATGTTTTAAGAAATTTTAAAGAAAAATTTAGTAATAATTTAAAATGCAATAACTAGAATACATGATGGTATTAGTATAAACAATATATTGATAAATTACTGAAGTTAGAATTTCAACACTTAAAATTATATTAATAATCAAAATAATAAATTAAATAGATTAATAATTAAATGTGTGTTAAAGTTTTTATATTTTAACCCAATACTTATTTTTTWWAAATACTAAGCATAATAAATAGTAATAAAAATATATTAAATAATGCAATATTAAAATTAAGGTATTTAAATTTTGAGTTTTATGTATAATAATAATTTACCCAATGCTGTTGCTCCTTGATTGCACGCATGATTAACACTAGCACCATGTTCAATTAATAATCGGACGATGACAGAATGTCCTTGCCATGCAGCCAAGTGAAGAGGCGTTCTATTTTCATTGTCAGTTGCATTTAARTTAGCTTTTCCAAGTTTTAACAATAAGGATACCATTTCACAGTGACCTTGCCAACAACTAACATGCAAAGCAGTACGACCCTAAATTGTCAAAACACAAGATTTTTAGTGAACCTTTCTAAAATTTCAAAATAAATAATTTATTATTATGAATAACAATTTTAAATTTTAGCAATATTAATTATGATRATGAATGAGCTCTAATTATTCAATTTTATTTATGACCTTTTCCTTAGAATATTATTAGTTTTAATCGAGATTTGAATTCATTAAAAAAGAAATTCAAGTTGTATAAGTAGTCCATTTTTAAGAGGACGCCACAACCACATATGATGTCTGTCTGACAAACTTACGATGTGGTAAAAATGTTTTGCGCAAAAAAAAAAAACCGAGAAGGTTAGTCATAATTAAGAAAGAAATKTTCACACTAAAAAGAGGAGAACATATACTAACTTACTGTGCAAAATAGTTTATACTTTTCCAATATCACAAATACGTAAACATTTTTTGTTTAAAAATTCATTATTTTAAAGTTAAACAACGTTTTTTTGTATTTGTGATATTAAAAAAATAATAATGTTAAACAGCAAATATCTTCTCTTTACAGTCTAAAATTTTCGTTTTATAGTTAAACGAATTTCTTAATAATTTCTCACTCAAAATGTTTTACAATTCTAATAAAATTAATAGAAAATTCATTTTTTTACAAAACAAATTTAAAATTATAATTGGATTTCTAGAAGAAATTTTTTCATTCAATAAATAGTCTAAATCCATGAAAGAACAATTTGTTTTCAAATAACTGTTTATAYGTTTTATTAATAATAGTTTTTTAAGAATAGTGCAGTGTACATTAATTTCAATTAAAAATACACGGTACTGACTTCAGAATCTGTGCTTTCAACGTCTGCTCCACCTGGGTCAATAAAAAATTTAGCCATTGCTAAATGATTTTCAAGAGCAAGGACATAAAGAGTACTTCGACCATCAGCATCTTTTTTGTTAACATCAACTCCATGATCTACAAGACTTCTAACTACTTCAATATGTCCTTCTAATGCAGCTAATCTATAAGTATACATGACATTTTAAGGAGAGTTAATAGTTTGTAATTGATTAAACAATAATAATACCTTAAAGCAGTTCTTCCATCATGAGCTTTCTGATCTGGAGGGGCTCCATAGTTTTTTAAAAATTCACTTACTAAACCTGAATGCCCTTCTTCAGCTGCTAACATTAATGGTGGCTTACCATCATTATCAGTTTGATCAATTTTTGCTCCACTCTCCAACAATGTTCTGCAAACAACCTGATGACCTTCAAATGCAGCATAATGCAATGGTGTCCAACCAGAGTTGTCTCTATGTTGTTCATCAAGACCTATATTATAAAAATATGATCATAACTACAACAATTTAATAGACAAAACTTATTAAATATTCAAACCAACAAAAGAATGTCTGAGAATTTTAATTTATCAAGCTATGTCTTTGCATAGCTTTTTTTTTTACAAAAAAAACTTTGTTGCATATTTGTTTATTAGATTGAGGTACATAACATAAAAATTAGATTAATTTAGTTCAAATACTTAAAATAATAGTTATATTTTAAGGAAATTTCAAGTTTTTCTATCCAAAATTCCTAGATAAAAGTAGCCAAAAAAGGATATATTTTAAAATAAATAATACAAAAAAGATCACTTAAAATAAAAATTCTTTAAACATGCTTCTTTAATACCTCTATCTAACAGTTGAGACACTACAACATTATTCCCTTGAGCTGCAGAAACGCTGAGAACAGTACGACCTTCATTATCAATGCTGTCTACATAACAACCCCAAAATAACAAAAGTGAAACACAAGCAGGATGTCCCATTGATGCAGCAGCCCATAAAGGTGTTCTACCTAACTTATCACAATGGTCTACATCAGCCTCTGCTTCTAATAAAATTTCGCAAACATCTCTGAAAAAACAATTGTAAATAAAATTAAAAGATCAAAATGTAATTTAACTTTCAGTACAATACCTATGGCCTTCGAATGCAGCAACAAGTAAAGGTGTCATTCCATCTTTATCTTCATGATCAACAAAAGCTCCAGATTCCAACAGCAAAGTGACAACCTTGGCATATCCACCATTAGTAGGTGCACATAAAGCAGCAACACTTAAAGCAGTACGGCCATCACTATCTTGATGATTAATATTCGCCCCATTGTCCAGTAATCTTCCTACAATATGCGCATGGCCCATATACGCTGCAGCAATCAATGGAGTTCTACCATCGCCATCAGTAGTATTAGGGTTTGCGCCAGCTTCTAGTAATTTTATCACAACATCATTGTGACCTCCCCAAGCTGCAGCACGTAATGCTCCACGTCCTTCACAATCAGAGCATTCAACATCGGCCCCATGTTTAAGCAATAACTCTACCACCTAATATTATAATGTGTATTATACAATTTATAATTTTCGTGAATCAAAATGTATGTTATTACTTGTGAGTGACCACCCCATGCAGCAGCTCTTAAAGCAGTCCACCCTTCAACATCTGCATGATCTATTTTACAGTTATATTTTAATAAAAGCTGAAACAAAAATGATGAACTGTAACAACTGTTATCAACATTTACAAATATAAATAACATTAAATAATTCACAAGAAAGAAAAAAATATTGGAGCAGAAATAAACWAAAATTATTTTCATTGTTATTATGTTATTAAATGTGAATTTAAATTAAATTATTGATATAATATAAAGTTGTATTAATTTATCTTTGTTAGAATATAGATAATAGAATACTCAAAACTATGTTTAGTTTAAATACCTCTACAACTTCAAGATGACCGTGACGTGCAGCTATATTAAGAGGTGTTTGTCCATTATTGTCATTCACTTCTAAATTTACATCTGAGTGAGTTTTTAATAACTCCTGAAGAACGCTAAAATTTCCATCCATTGCAAGTAAATGCAAAGTATTCCTGCCATTAATATCTACTTCATATAAATTTGAAGATAATAAGGTATTTGAATAAATAACTGGATTTTTATCATATTTTGGTGATGATACCAATCCAAAATTTGTTTCAAACTAAATAAATATATAAATAGATAACATGATAAGAGCTAGATTAAAAAAAATTGATTGCATTTTAATATGAGTAGTTATTTTTACCTTATTCGATTTTAGATCAATATCAGATTGAAAACAATTATTAGCTCCTTCCAAAAAATTTACAGCTTTTCTATCATAACAAGGAATAGTCAAACTTTCAGAAATTAGTGCTCCAGTATCAATCAACCATAGTAGTGGCAGTAAATTTGTGTCAGAAAAGTTTGTCCAGACTGGTAATGGGTTAACTCTTGATAAATGATAAGCTAATTTATGGACTTCGTCATGTGCAGGGGGTTTTGAACATCTAAAAAATATAAAAAATTAGACATAATATGAAAATGTCAAATATAATTATTTTAAAAATAAAAATAAATACCTAAGTGTATAATGAAAAGCAATCATAGCATGCCCTTCATTTGCAGAGCACAAAAACCTTCTAGTGCAATGTTTGACATCTAGGAACCATTCTCCAAAACTGTGATGAAATTGTATTATCTTTGAATCTCTTGGTAATGAAAATATTCTTCTCAATAAGCTAAATCTTTTGTGAAATTCTTCAACAGACATGTATTGGTATACAGAATGTATAATACTACTTAATTGTTCTTCTGATAAAGGTTCTGGAGATGCTAAGATAACATTTAACAAAGGTCGCACCTGGAATACAAATGTAGTTCAAATCAATTTTAAGGATTATAATTGAATATTTTTGAAAGTACTTACTTTTGAAAAATGTTTTGAATTCAAAAGCCTTTGACAAAACCATAAATACAGTCCATTAAGAGTTCCAGGAATATCTTTTATTTCCCTTAAGACTACACATCCATCAGATATTCCATCTAATACCCTTTCCAAATAGAGAAAACAACCATTACTTTTTATGTGCAATTGATTTAACATTTCAGCTGTATCTCTACTCATGTGTTGACGTAAGGATTCTTCTGATTCCAAACGGCTTAATATGTACTGCTGTATATCTCTAACGACCTATGAATAAATATTAAATAGTAATAATATTAAAAGTAATTAATAAATCAATGATAATATTATGAAAAAGATTCTGATAAAATATAAATAGGCAAGTCCTATAAAAAAWAATATCATACGTACTTGTGATTTACGGAGATCATCTATGCAAATTTTACGAAAACCAGAAAACATACGAGCAACATTTTTATTCTGTCTACGTGTWGTACAAATAAGCATCAACCATTGGGGAAACAAATGATGATGAGTAGCTAATAGCTCTGTAATGGTTTTACTTGAATTATTCTTAAACTTTGGATCAGATCTATCATTTGTACATAATCCTTCATCAACTGAATCAACTAAAAGAAACATTGTATGTTTTGGTAGTTCAAGATCATTTATTGGAAAAATAACAGCTTTTTTAAATGCATCATCCGCATCTTTTACTATATTGATTGGAGATAAAGATTCTTGTATTGCTGGATCAGATTTTAATCTTTCTTTATATGATTTGGGCAATGAATCAGATAATTGAGAAACCAAACTTTGAATAAAATGTGCAACTGATAATGTGTTTACATTTTGAGCTTGACAAAAATGATAAGCTAATAGTCTTCTGTTTAATGCACGTTGTTGTCTGCCAGACGGATGAACAATTTCACAGCACAGTGAAGTTTTTCCACATCCAGCACCTCCAACAAGAAGGGCTCCACATGTTTTCCAATTGCTTCTTTGATCAAAGCAGTGTAATAATTTTTGGAAAACCCATTCGCGGCAATAAAATGGTTTTTGAGCCAAATCACTTGAAGTCATTTTGTTCTGTTTGTTTTCATATTAGTTAAATAATTCTTAATTGTTGATATCATAGGCCAATTTAAAATTGTTAATTTAACTTATATTATATAGGTAATCTGAAACATAAAAAATGTAATTACATTTTATTCTTAAGTATCTACGACTATTGAGTATATTTATGAATAAATATATAAAATAATTTAAGTTTTATATATATATATATATAATATAAACATTTATAAGGTTAAAATTTTCAGAACATAAAAAAAAAAAAAAATCATAAGTAAATTTAAGTGGAACTAATTGAGACTTTTTGTTTTATTTTAACACTATACAATTATACTTTTACATTATTTTATTTTGCAAAGTAAATAAAACAACAAATTGTTAAGAATAGTTGTATATTTTAAAAGTATGAAATGCATTAAAATTGTTTTCATAACATAACAGTGAGGTTATCACTAGAAGACCTCAGTGAAAAATTATTTTATGATCCTTGAACTCAATACCTACAATGATTTACAATAATTAATAATGATTTACAAAACAAAACAAAATATGCATTAATTGAATGTTAAAAATGCATAATGTGTAACATTTCATAGTAAATATGTTTGACGTCATATTAAAAACTAATCCATACCTAATAAGTAAATAAATTTAAAAAAAGACTAATTAAATTTAATATCAAAATATAATTTTCAAATGTTTTTTTAGTTAAATGTCAAAATATTAGGTACATGTAGGGATTTTACTTAATACTTATTTGAACGARTGCAAGAAAAAAAATACCTAAGATTATACTTATAAAAAAAACATAGTCCTAATTTTTTTTATTGGTAAATAAATATATTATGTATATGTTAAGGGTATTTACATTTTACATGTTAGGATATTTAAAAATAAATTAAAATTAAAATAGGTAATGTGTAGAAATATAACATTATAATCCAAGAATAAATGTATACCTAATTGTTTTTAATATGATTTTTATAATGAGGATTTTTTTTTTTTACAATTTTGAAGTAAATAACCTACAATTTTTTGTTTGATAAAATTTAATACTTATTGAAGATACTTTATAACTTCATGTCTACAAATTAAATTTATTAATTTCATTAACAACAATTTAAAATTTATATTAGTTTTCTTCACTTATATAGTTTTATACCTTTGAATCTTTTTTAAATGCTAATATTCAAATCTAGATTATAAAGTAATAACCATTTTTTTTTTACCAGTGATTTGTTTAATTCTGAAGCACACAAGGAATAATATAACAACCTATTTTCTAGTAAATAATTAGTGAAAAATATAAGTTATAATCATAATTAATTATGGTTGTTCTACATTCAATGTAGATAATGGAGCAACTGAATTTTCGACCAACCATAGTCACTAATTCAAGTGCATTTTTAATGTTTTCAAAGCAGTGTGCATAACTAAAGCATAACAGTCAAATTGGCTAAAMAAAATTACATAGAATTCTTGATTACATTAATTATAAGTGCATCCTAATAGGTAAAATCTGACAGACAGTGGCGTATTTAAGGTTTTTTCTCCTATAGGCACTTTCCAATTCGCCGCCTCCCCCCTCTATCCTTCCTAAAATTWTTTATAAAACATATTTAAATATACAATTTATTATAATATAATATAATATTATATTAAAAAAGATACATAATTTATGAACATTAAATTACAAACATTAAAAAATAACAATAAGTGAGTAATTCCTTGTCATTATATAACGATAAACTATGGTATTTATCTATCTATCTTTATTATAAGAAATCGAACTCGCATAAGTTTTGTTATCTATGTGCTCGTATTATGTTGGTATGTGTATAATATAGTTGTATGAATATGTAGATAGATATTCAATTTTGAGCAAACAAAAAATTAGTTAAGTTTGATTTCATCAAATGAAAAATACTTTTTATAGTTTTGTAAAAAAAAATCGTTGAAATTTGTAGCTCTAGGCCCGGGCCTATAGGGCCTGWGCCTAAATACACGTCTGCTGACAAATCCTAAAAATAGTAAACACCAGTTTAGGTGGTACATTTGTTCAAGTTCTACGAGAAATCATTAATTAGAAAACGAGTTTGCTTGTAGCTGAAATAAATATTTATTGAGATTTAAAAAATAATTCTATGTGAGTTTAAATTAATTTGACTGGGTAACGTAACATGAAAAAATCTGAGAATTCATCATGGTTGTTCTGTGCATTTCAGCACAGGAATGTCATTCAAACCACAGAAATTATTTTCCATGATATTAATATATTATATTATATTGTGTAATATTTAAAATCCTACTAAACGATATTCATAATGAATCAAACCCTATGACTCATGTTACTATTCAGATTGTACATTCCTTCCTGTTATATATTAATCATAATGTATAGATTATCAGAAGCAGCAGCGGTGTAGACAGGATTTTTTTAGGGGGGGGGGCTGATCAATTTTTTACACAGCGGTGCATTAAATACCTACTAGCACGGCCAAAGCTATAGAAAACTAACAAAATAAAGATGACAATTTAAAATTAGTAAAATACAATTTAAGACTTTTTGATTGAATATTTTTAGACCATTACAATAATTTTTAAATTTTATTAACATTTCGGGGGGGGGGGCTGCAGCCCCCTCAGCCCTCCCCCTGGCTACGCCACTGAGAAGCACAAAGATAGTTAGTAACATCAAAAATCTTATGGATTTAGGTACCAATTTCTATGAGCTTTAAGTCACTGTGATAAATTGAGTATTGAGTTAATAATATTAAATGTACCTAAGTGTGTCTAGCACGTTTCGAATGACAAGTGTTGGTTAGAATGATTGGATTAAACTTTTTCTTTTGAACAGAACTGAGCCCACTCTCGGGCCAAGCACTTCTAAACCTAAACGGTACCACCCAGCAGACCAACCGCAAGAGTGTTGACATTCGACGAACGGCTGCTTGCCGTACTCACCTCACAGTGACGGTCGACGGAGACTACAGATGACCAGATCGGCACGGCACAGAAGGTAGCATGGTGATCGACGGGAACAAAACACTTTCTGGCTGACGTTGTCTCTAGACGAAACGGTCGAACGGGAAAATCAGGCAGTCGACGCCATGCATAGGACAATGTCTGAACAAAAACGATAAAACTACACGAGCGGCGTTATCGTACGGACGCGGTTTGATTTCAGACGTCGCCGACCGAGTAAACAAATACAAATCGGAATGGGGGAAAAATAAAAAAKMAAAACTAAATTAATAATCGCTGATTAATATCACCGCCTCCCGCCCCGCACCGTCCGAACGATGTCGGTGTACCGTGTGTGTGCGTGTGTGTGACCGATGGCGCACTACGGTGGTTTCTATCGGCGGCTGTAGTTGTAGTCGCAGTAATCGGCTGTCGGCCGAGCGGTGGGTCGACGACAGTGGGGGGGCGTCCGTGGTGVGCACGGTAGGGAAAAAATTTCAAACGTGTGATATCCGCCGCCGCTGCTGTTGTATAAAATCCAGTGATCGTACGTGTGCGTGCGCGCGAGCGTAGGGTTCTGCTTCTCGCGATCTCGCGTGCACGGCGAGTGTGCTGCAGTGGCGGTGAGGTGGKTGTTCGTGTGTGAAACGTCGTCCTGACGTCACGCCGCCGCCTCCACCTCTGTCGTCTTATCACTCTTATCATAATGTTATAATCGTTACGCCGTGGTGGTTGTGAGATTGTGACTCGACTCAGACTCGTTATYTTGTCAGTCGCGACAGACCGCCATAGACCTTAGCCCCATGACTAAATTTTATTTTATTTTTTTGTCATCAWAGCCGACATAACAATCTATAACGGCCGCCTACTATAGGTTTTTTTTTTCGATGTAATTTATCGATAGTTGCTTGATATGAGACTTTAGACAATTATTAGCGAGGAAGCGTTATTTCAGATTTCTGCATTAATAATAACACCGGCGCGCCGCGGTTGTATAATATTTTATATACCGTCATATATACCGTATATATATATACAGGGTGATTCTTTTATCAAACAAYACTGTCAGCACTCATAATAATATGGTGTTTGTGTGTAAATACCACCTAACATACACCTATAACTAGAGGTTAAAGTGGGGAAAAATTCCAGAGGGAACTAAAGTCTCCATAAAGTTTTAAGCGTTCCAAATATAATTTTAGGTATAATGTCTAATGTATAAAATCCTAATTTGTTAAAGGGGACACTTTTTAACCGCCGTCAGAGGTAAGGGGACCGAGTCCTCCTGCGTCCCCCCACTTTAACCCCTGCCTATAACATACAAACATCACCAAAAACCACCCAAGTTTGAGAGKCTATATCTTGTAAACAGATTAACGAAAAATGAAAATTTAAACGTGAAAATCCATTGAAAAAATTATTATTATTATTAACTATTTTTAAACGCAGCCTTAACATTTTTACGTATATTTTGTATTTTTAATTATTATTATTGACTATTTTTAAAAGCAACTTAAATGTATATTAGATTTTTTGAAATTTTATTTTTTATTGTATTTTGACTATAATATTATAGCTCATAGCAGCTAAAGATATTAATTTATATTGTTATTATTATTATACAGGGTGTCCCGCGAGGATTTACCCATTGCGATATCTAATGAAATAATGGAGATATTAAGATTCTGGTTTTATAATAAGATTCACAGGGATAAGAACTACAATTATTTCATTTTTAGCTTTACTTTCCGTGTTCCTAATAGTTATAAATTTATGATCATATTTTATTTCTTCAAAACTAAAAAAAAAATATTAAAAATCAGGAAATTAATGAAAATAAAATTTTGAAACGTCATATTTTCAGAAAAATAAACCCAACAAAATGGCTATCTTTATYTTGTTTTGAAATAATTAAATAAAAAAATATATTTTTAACTTTTTTATCAAAACATTAAAATATGAAACAATTGTAGTTCTTATCCCTTTTAGTTTTATTACAAAACCAGAATTTTGATATCACCATTATTTCGGGAGATATCGCAATGGGTAAATCCTCACGGGACACCTTCTATATGATTGACTATTTTTAAACGCAACTTAAATGTATATTAAATATATTTCATGATTTTTACTTGACCCGGGAGAGCTTACAATTGCCCGGAGACAACACATGCGGGTGTAGCGTCGCCTATACTGATGTCGGCACCGATGCGGTCTGGACATTAGCGGTCGGCACCTTTTGCGTGCCATTTGCGGTCAATTTATTTCTATCCACCTGAAACTTGACTATAAGATTTGGATGCTATATATAATATTTCATATACTATATACTTAATTTATGTTAATAGGTATAATATAATACTTTTTTACTATAATTGATATAATTATATACTTGTCAAATATATTATTTTTAAACTTCCCTTCACACTTTTCCAGGCTTAGGACTGGCAGTATTTTTTACTTACAAATTCACATAATAATATATTTGTCAATCACAATTCACTGTACTTACATAAAGAAATTTAAAAATAWTTATTATTATAAAAAATGCACATAATAATATATTTGTCACAATTCACAGACTTACAATACATAATAAACATAATATTATTCTAATTTTTAAATAATAGCTATTTTTTTTAAGCATTTTTCTAAATCATTATCTAATTAATAGTCTACTAATGTTTTTCTAATTCTTTTGTCTAATCGTAGTTACATTTTTTTTCTTATATAGGATATAAAATATTATATTTAGCACCCAAATCTTATAGTCAGGTACTCAGGACTCAGGTAGTTAGAAATAAATTGACCGCAAATGGCACGCAAAAGGTGCTGACCGCAAATGTCCCGGAACCGCCTATACTCAACCGTATTTCGTGGATTTAACGTTTAATCTATAGTCAAATAAAATGTTGATAACACGCACGTTACCTACGAGTTGAATATTTTATATACAGGGTGTTTCTGAAGTGTGTGAGGTAATTAGTATACGCATACTCACTGTGATACCACAATGAAGATTTTTTGGAATTTTTTTTCTAACTTCAAAATCTGAGTTTTTTTATAGTTTTTTATAGTTATTTTTAGAATATTATCTTGAATGTAAAAATGAACACTAGTTGTATTTTTTGCAAAATTCTAATACGAATCGGGATATCGCATCATTTTTGCACTTGTCCCGCGTTTTTAGCGCTCGAATCTCCAACTAAAAAAAAAGTCGTACGACACATCGATTTGCATGAGAATACTGCAAGATAACCAGTGGTGATAATTATTTGTTGCCATTGATAATACACAATTAATTAACACATTGTTTTACCTTGTCGACTAATAAAAATATGAAATAATAAAATTAGGGTTAAAAGAGTATTAAACGATCAAATTTATTATCATATATTTATGTAATACCTTTATTAAATAGCTTTTAACTTTATAAAGTTATAATAGTTAGAGATAAAAGAAACTACCTATTTGTGTGTACTGTGTTTATTTTGAAATTCCAGTTTTTGGATATCACAGTACCTAACATAATTATTTTGACTCGATAAGATAAACATTTTATTTTATACTATTATTATTATTATTTATTAGTGAACCTAATATTATACTTTTATCGTTAATATTGAATTGACCGTACTCCTTACAGAGTACATGATTAACATTAGTTGGTCTGATTAAAGCTCAGTTTAATACTTGTCATTGAACGACATGTAAAATATTAATATTTAAAGTTTTTAATTTAAATTTTGATTTTTGCGCAATGGCGTACATAAACATTGAATATGCAGACATGGTTTTTATGTTGTGTAAGTACTAATTCATTTAATTAATTAGTTTAAGTATTTAACTAATATTACTGGTGAATTATTTTATTAATAACTCTAGGTATTTTACTTTATCACAAAACATACCCGTGTAACTATTTTAAGTTGTCGTAAGCCCGTAAACGACATGTAATACGAAACAAACTGTTTATTTGTTTATTAATTGTGACTAGGTTTAGCTGATGGAAATGGAAATCTTGCAGCTAGGTTATGGGCAAAACGATTTCCTCAGCGTAGAGTACCTCGACCAAATACTTTTTTAACAATTTATCATCGTCTGAGTGAAACTGGTAAGAATTCTAAACAAATATGACATTTAAAATAAGTACATTCTACACTTACACAATATTAAAAAATGTTGTCTTTTTCAGGTAACGTGAGACCTTGAATGAACTTGGACGCCCGAGATTTGTACGTAATGTAGCGAATGAAGAATTGGTACTTGATTTAGTACATGAGGATCCGGAACTTAGTGTCCGACGCATAGCCTTAAGAACTGGGATTTCTCCATCAGTAGTATGGAGATTATTACACCAAAATCACATGCACCCTTATCATCGACAACAAGTTCAAGAACTATTACCGCGTGACTATCCTGCTAGGTTTATTTTTTCACAAACAATTATTGGTAAACAACGGACTGAAATCGATAGAATATGCTCTAAAACATTGTTTAATATAATTGATACTGTTGATGAACAATTAGAAATTGAAAAAAATGCTGTATACATATTTAACCTTATTAAGAAGCAAGCTCATAATGAGGCTTCAAATTTGTCTATATTTCCATTAAATTGTGTTGAACACATTTTTTTCTATACAAATATTTCTGTTAACACTAATACAATTAAACAGATTTTCAATCAAACGCTGGACCAATCCCAAAACATTTTTTGGATTGAATACAGAAAATTTCGCATTTCAGCTAGTTCAAAAGCTCATAAAATAAAAACATTAAAATCTACATCTGATGAAAGTAAAAATAAATTGGCCATTTCTTTGATAAATGAGATGGAAATTAAAGGAAAGGAGCATCAAATGTTTTATATGGATTACAGACTGAAAACAAAGCATTTGCGTTGTTCTCTTCTTCATACAATTTTGATGTAATTAAAAGTGGTYTAATTATTCATTCATCCAAACCTTGGATTTGTGCTAGTCCTGACGGTTTGATTTTGAGAAATGKAGAAATTATCTCAGTATTAGAAATTAAATGTCCTAGTTCCTGTAAAAAAAAACCAATAATTGATCCAAGTACTGAAATACCAAATCTTTCATATTTACAAATTTSAAATGGAGAAATTGTTTTGAAAACTAGCCATGTATATTATACACAAATTCAAATTTTAATGTACTRTACAGGCTTAAGTGATTGTCACTTTTATATT